GTACTTCTGTATAATGAAACTATTGGGGTACATAACTTAACAGCTATACAATCCTCAGATCCAATAAACATAACACAAACAAAGGCGCAAAACGCGTCGCGGTCATTGTTCCTGCTGCCGTAACTATTAATGGCGAGTACAGTTCAAGCTGAGACTTATATTATACTTTTAGAAAGATGTAGATTTTGAGGATTCATTTTCATATATATAAAATAGTATTGAGCGACTATTATGTAGCGGGAAATATAGTTTGTAAAAGAAGAGAGTTTAAAATATATTTTGGTGGTGGATCGCTTCCATCAGCATCTGAAACTGCAATAAATTCCCTACAATTTATATATCTCCGAATCTGAGGTTGGTTATAACAATTTTATGTAGTTTTGAAAAGGTCATAAAAATTATGTTTTCGTAAAAAAATGTTAACATTTCACATTCTGACGTAAATTACTCAGGAAATTTCGATTTCAACTACATTTAACTATACATTTTTAGAAAGAGCTTTTACTCTTAAATAATGCAGTGTAACAAGGCTACAAATACAAGCTAGGAATACAATGGAAACTCCATGTACAGTATCTAAACTTAAATTTATTTCATTACAATACAAAATTGATGGTAAAAGAAAAGAAACTAAGGGTTCACAATAAAAGTTTACAAAGGGTGGGAAATGAATTTACTAATTTAAGCTTTAGGCTAGGCCTATTACAATAGTTCTAATTTAGGTTGAGGGGTTATATTGCATGGATCTTCATCCCAGGTGGGGTGATCGAGCGGCGTTTGAATTTAATCTTGTGATTATATATAGCCTAATTAAATTTTGTTTTGAAATATAAATTATGTTCGAATTATTTTCTGAAAGGTTGAATTAATTTATGTTCTGAATAAGCTTCTATTAGTTTCTTGACTTTTAAATTCTGGTACAAAAGTTCAAAAGTTAGGCTTAAAAATGTTGTAATGGCTTCGATCCAAGGAAAGAAAATGTCTACTGGAGTGATCTCACCAAAATTGATGTCTTCTTCACAGTTAAATTTCTTGATGTTGTGTAGTTATTAATGTTTGTAACAAGGACGGATCTTCTTTAACCCTCCCAGTGTTACTTGACGAAAATTCGACAAGCAGCACACTTTGTGTAGTGTTACTTGTTGATTTTTCGACACGCAGACATCGTTTACGGCGAAGGCTCTATGACTGACTGAATCGGATTGAACTGGATCGAGTTAGGTATCGTTCTTTCCGTAATATTCTAAGCTTTCTCCAGAGGTCTGTCTCTAAGCGCTATTCATTTTAGTTCCGAAAATATTGTAGCAGACAGCTGACGTGCGTGTATTTGTAAACAGCTAGGTTCCCCCGGACCGATGACTGATGTGTTTTATTACGTTTATCATTGTTTTAGTGTTAAAAATCAAAAGTAGTGATATACGTGGTGCATTATAAGAAGATTTAAGTGGTTTTGAAGTGCTGGTTGATGATCCTGAAGAAGTAGGTAGTGATATTGATGTAAATTATCAGCCAGATTCCTAGCTATGGTTAGGCTATGCATTCTTAGCTAAACGCTATGTACTGAAATAAGTTTTTTGCCCATAACTTATTTATTTGCAGATATACTTCCTTATATTATTATATATTTGTAATCCTCATAAAATTTAGAACAAAGTGGCTATTTTCAAATATTTATAGGCCTATAATTTATACAATTTCATTGAGCGCAAACTTTTTTTTTTTTTTAATTTTCGAAATTATATTTTTTTTTACCTAAAAATTTTTTTTTTTGAAAAAATGTTCCTTATGTTTTGTATATAATATTGAAGCCCATGATTTTCCAAACAAAATGGTATATAGAACATTAGAATTAACATTGTTTTAAGCTTCTCAGATCCGTTTTAATAAAACCTTGCAAATGCGCCAAAAATAGGTGGACATTAAGGCCTAAACTATGGACACTTGGAGGGTTAATCAAATTTCACTAATTTATTCCAAATATATGCACTTTTTTATAAATTTTTATATTAAAATATGCAGTTTACAATTTATATCTTCATACTAGCTCAGCACTCTTAGAAGTGAGGAAGGTTTGATGCATTGTTGCATTCACATATGTCAATGCTGACTTTATCACGGAAAATTGTAGGCCACTGTTCACACATATATTATAACAATTTTCATTTGCCATAGAGCTAAATTTGAATTTTGACAAGTTATTTAAGTAAAATTATATCGAATTTGAAGCAACTTTGTTACAAAAAGTTATAGGTTATTATATATTTACATGAAATAAGGTTATTTGAAAATGTTCTATATTATAATGTATTGAATCAATTACCTATTGGTCTGTTTGGCCATATATTATACAAGGTTTGATAAAGAGAGATGGATTAACATATTGATAAAAATAAAAACATATGGTAAAAATTAAATTATTCTATTGAAAATTTTTGTAAAAATACTAAATTGTTACAGCAGTATAATAATTATTTACTGTTGATGCAATAAATTTATTTCTCATACAACAATTAAATACAATTTGGCAATTAAAATAGTTTAGTAGTTTTTTTATAATTTTATTTTTATGCAAAAACATTGATATTTCCACGTAAGGAATCATATTTTACACAACCTTAACATTTGGATAATATGGATAAAAACATTATTTTTATGATTTTTGCGGGTTGATTTAGATATTTCTAATTTGAATAATCCAAAAATTTGCAAACCTCCTGCTACTACCACTAAAAGCATTGCTGAAAAATATATATTTTTATATTATTACTAGCTGTAACCCGCGGGCTTTGCCCCGTTTAACTTCTTAATTTTCAAGATTATCTCGTTCGCATGGCTCAATCACGTCCTGGTTGAAGTTTGTTCGCTACGCTCACTCACCTTTGGGTTGAAGTTTGTTCGCTACGCTCACTCACCTTTGGGTTGGAGCTCGTTCGCTACGCTCACTCACCGTTAGGTTGGAGCTCGTTCGCTGCGCTCACTTGCCTTCAGGTTAGCTCGTTCGCTACGCTAACTCGCCTCCAGGTTGAAGTTCGTTCACTACGCTCACTCACCTTTTGGTTGCAAATTAGCTGTTGTCATAAATGTAAAAGAAATAATAGTGCTGCACCCTGTTGGTAATCCTTGTAACTTTAATGCTATTGAACATCACAGAACAGAACCAACTTGTTTAATTGAAACAGCTGTTAAGATTCAATAATTCCATTTCTCATAAGGTTAACATGGGAAACTCCAGAGCCACTGGGGCGGAGCCCGAAAGGATTTTTGAAATAAGAATATGCCTATATGTTAATCGGGAATGTGAGCTATCATCATGCCAAATTTCAGCCCAATCCGACCAGTATTTTTCGCGTTCACTTGTCACAAACATACATCCATACATCCATACATCCATACATCTAAACTTTCTCATTTATAATATTAGTAGGATATTCTACATTTATCACTGAAACATAATATATAATAGATATCTACTTATATGGGCATGTAACTGTTCTCTGGTGAATTATATGGTACCACTACAAAAGGGCCAAAATATAACCACCACTGGTACCCAGACAGGGTCAAGGATTGAGAGATAAGAAGTAAAATCATAATGCTTCGAACTTCAACTACAACTTCAGCTGTTCAGGTCAATTTAATTGTTAACGATTGGTGCGATGATTCGTTGCATTACTGTCAGAGACAATGAGGGGTAAAGAAAAAATAACCTCTCTTTTTAAGTTTTGAGTAGTGGTTTTTGTTAATTAAAATACTGTCGCAGGTTAATTAATGCACACAACTCGCGTAAATAGTGTTAACGACACTCGTAGAAGTTTTTAAGGCACTCGCCAAGGCTTGTATTTAACATTTTCTACTCGTATCGTTTACACTACCTTTACGCGATCGCCGAAACAGCTGTTGCACCAATTGTGCAGCCTGGTCAGGTGATGGAAACGTCCAACTACCAAAATTTTTTTAAACTCTCTTCTTTTACAAACTATATTTCTCGCTACATAATAGTCCCTCAATACTATTTTATATATATGAAAATGAATCCTCAGAATCTACATCTTTCTAAAAGTATAACATAAGTCTCAGCTTGAACTGTACTCGCCATTAATAGTTACGGCAGCAGGAACAATGACCGCGACGCGTTTTGCGCCTTTGTTTGTATTATGTTTATTGGATCTGAGGATTGTATAGCTGTTAAGTTATGTACCGCAATAGTTTCATTATACAGAAGTACTATTTACCTATTGTGTACTACTCTCAAAAGTTGTCAATTAAAAAATTAATGGTTCTAAACAACAACAAAAACCATTATACTCCTGATTATACTTATCGTAAATTTAAAAAATATAATTTTTAGTAACTTCTTGTCAATTTCCATGAAACTACTACATAATCTATTTGTAGAATGCATTTTTCTGCACAGTTTGACATGTCTAACGTATTCATATGACTTTTGGTTCTCGAGATATAAGCTATTTTGTGCGCGGCGGCCCCCCGGGCGGCCCCGCAAATTCACCCCCTCCCCCCCATGTTATTAACCACCTAGAAATGCGACAACATCGATTTTCTTTATCTACTAGGTACCCATAGCAACAATCAAAAGTCAAATTTCGTTACACTTTTATGCATGCTCAAACCCCCTCAGCGCCTCGACTAATTAACTAGTTAAAGTATCTAAGATAATATTTTAAATAATGAAATATTTTCATCTAAACATTCCAGTTTTTAACATAATACATAATTAATAAGACAGTTTTACAATGCAGAGTTTTTGTTCTTAAATATTAAAATGGCAGATGTGAAAATGTGGTACTGGTAGGCTAACTCCTTTAGTAAAGATTTTAGGGATATGTGAACCTAATCTCAAACTTAGCCATAATTTGTCTTAGCGATCCTTCACTGTCATATATAAACTAAATATGATCAACTATATCCCTGGTAATATGGGTTTTTCATAAAAATATATTGATTAATTTTATTAATAATATTGGTTTTTTTTTTTTTTTTAGAGCCGACTACAAGAGATTAGAAGATGAATTCAATACATTGACTATGAAGTACCACAAAATGATGATGGATAAAGACATGGAAGTTAACATCTTAAAAGAAGAAATAAGCGAAATTAAGATTCACGAGGCAGAACTAAAAGATTTCCTTGAAGAGAAAGTCCAACTGGCAGCTGATAGGTTTAAAGAAACCTTGGAGTTAAAAGACAACCTGGATACAATGGTGGAAAAGATAAGTGCTGACAGGGAGGAACACCAGAAGTTCATCAATGATCTTAGGTCACAAATATCTGAACTGCAAAACAACAAGTACGAACTGGAAACTGTACTTGCAGAGAAACAATCTATTATAGTAACCATCAATGATAAATACTCAGACTTGGAAAATGAACTGAAATCCCTTGAGGAAGAAAATATGATACTCGAGCAGGCGAATTCATGTATCTTAATGGGAGCGGATGAAAAACTTCAGCAACTAGAAAACGAAATCACATCGAAGCTACAATCTATTTCCAAATCTCTTGAAGCTCAGAATGAAGAAAGACAAATTGCCTCCGTAACAAAAATGAATTATGTTGTTCATGAGTTTAATAAAAAGTCAAAAGAAATAATTGATCAAGTAAAGCAGTCTCAAGAAAAGGTAAAAGGGTTGGAAAGATTGGTTGACAGAAAAGTAAAAGAATTCTCAACAGATATTAAAGAAGCTGATGAGAGGTGTAAATATTTGTACAGGGAATTGTGTAAAGTAGAGGAACATAGGGAAGAGCTGCTGGCTACAGATCTAGAGAAGAAAATTACTATTATTGAAATTCAAGCAAAATCAGACTTATACCAAAGTGAATTAAAAGAATGTAGGAACACATGTAGAAAGTATCAAATCACACTAAACACAATGAATCAGACAATAACAGCTCTGAGCAACCGATTGTTAGAGAGTGAACAGGAAGTAGAACGGTTGAACGGGGTTGTGAATGATCTGGAATCGCAAAATCAGCTTTTGGAGGAAAAGTCTCAGATTCTATCAGCTAATAATGTCGCTCTCAAAGAAAGTATGGACAAAATGGAGGAAGAAATCATACAAGATGTTTCTGCTGCGAAAGAATCCTTAGCAGAGAAAACAGAAATTTTCAAACAAGCAGCTTTACAGAACGAGAAATTACTTGAAAATAAAATCTCTGAAAAGCAGTGTGCGATTAACTTGTTGCTACAAGAGAATGAGTATTTCAAAACGGAACTTGAAAGAAAAGATGAGCTCATTGAAGGGTTAAAAAAAACAGAACAAAAGTACCAAGAAAACATTTGCAAGTTAAAATCTGAGTGTTCCAAACTGGAGGATGAAGTAAGAGAAAAATTAAGTGATAACATCAATAAGGCTGAAAATATATTGGAACTAAATCTAAGCTTGGATAGTTTTAAAGAAGAAATGGAATTTCTGAAGACTAAAATCTCTTGTTTGGAGGCTGAAAAGAATAGTTTGCAAAATGTTCTTGAAGAAAGCAAATACAAGATTAGTAATTATGAAGATGTAATGCAGGAAAAGCAATTCAAAATTAATGCTTTAGAAGATGAAGTTGTTAGCAAAGATGCTCTTTGTCAAGACCTTTTCTCACAGCTCGACTCGTTAAGTTCGTCTTATAATAAACAGAATGAGGAGATGAAACGTAACGCCGAAGAAGCTATGAAACTCGTGGTTGCAGAAGATCAAATTTCCGACTTGGAAATGCAACTTATAGAAAAGGATAAAGAACTGGAACGTCTGAGGTAAATAAAAAAATGTTTTGTGGTTCTTAAACAATAAAAAATGTCCATTTAAAATGGAATTAAAACAGAATTTTTTGTTAAATCTATGTTATTAATACAAACTGAGTATCTTATATATTAAAAGAGCTGTTCTGATTCATATTCAGTTTTAAATTGTAAATATGGGAGGATAGCAGCTAGCTTACCTTGAAGAAGTGTAGGCAGGCCATACAATAAAACATACAGAAGATAGGTACTGTGCTCACAATATTTTGTCCCTTTGAGGGACTTTGTCTATTGTAGAAAAAGTGGTAGAGTTTTATAAATTTATAAAGTTTACAGTTGACAAAGTCCCTCGGGAGACGAAATATTGTGTGCACAATGTATCTTCTGTATTTTCCATGGCCTACCTACACTTGTTCAAGGTAAGCTCACTGTTATCCTCCTTTTTCTACAGTTCAATCCTGGCCTATGCAGCCTTTCCTTATACAAAACTATACTTATATTCAGTTTTCATTGACTAATCGATTCCCGTACATAACAGATAATCATTTGATAATTGTTAATATCGATTAATGTTTGTCTGACTATTGAGAATTTTTGTTAATACATATTTTTGTTTGTTGGGACTTTTATAGTGTTATCAGGTTGTATTTATTATAGCTAAAATTAGATAAATTCCTCAATTACCTATGATCTGATGCCAAACTAATATAGCTTTATGTAGCACTAGTTTTCTGCAAATTGGTACAGCTGGAAAGATGTTGAGTTACTTTCTTTCAATATGATCATTTAATTAATTGTTATTTATTTGTAAGTGGCTTGTTTTGTTACATGTATCCAAACTTCCAGAACCAACAACATGGAAGTGACTCTACATCTAGATGAAGTTCAGACCCTCCGAGACCAATTGGAAGAGCTACAACAAAAGTATGAGGTGGTTGTAGAGGAGAGGGATAGAATAAATCACGAGATCGGCGATCTGATGGGTCACCAAAATATTCGACAGAAGATCAAAAAGGTCTCAGAGCTCAAACAGTACAACAGCGAACTTGAAACTGTAAGTAACAAAAAACTTCATAGAAATAAAATGTTTCAATTAGCTTCTCTTTTTGGAGAAAAATGGCAAACAGTAAACAAAGTCACTAAATTGCAGTGATATCAAAGTCAATAGGATATTCATAAAATATCATGAGTCAGGATGACAAAAAACTGGGTTTATTTATTTCAACATTATGTGTTATGACTTTCTTTTTGAGTGTTTTGATTCACAAATCGAAAACTGAATAACTGCTCTCTGCTGTCTTCTTCAAATCAAAACAATTTGAATTAAAATCAATCAATTCAAATTAAACGATATGTGTCTCTCTGCAGTGCATAAAAGACAATTGTTTAGCAAACAAATGTAACAAAGTATGGGTATTGTGTTTATTTTAAACTTATTCGTCATAGGCCTGACAGGAGCACGAAAAATTTGCATAGTAATTAATACATTTTCTCATTTTGTGTAGAGTCCCTGTATGAACAAACAATATGTTCTGGATTCACTATATAAATGTACACTAGACGCTTGATAATCAGGCAGGTTGGAAAGTTCAGCAATGCTAGATTGGGCTTATCAAAAATGCCGAAAACTAAGTGCTGCCTTAAAAAGGACAACGGAAATCCTGCTTGGAAAGGATCAGTGGAAAGGATTAATCAATTTTTTTTTGCTTGTGCTTACATTAGTGGCATTTTTATAATCGATAAAATTTGAAAGCTTTATAGGTTAAGCGGTCCAAACCCAATAAAGTTTAGTGGATGTGCCGGGAATTGAATTCGTCCCTCCCTCACCAAAGTCTGAGACGCTAATCAGTAGGCTAGCAACACACCCAAAAGAAAATCTAACGTTAATCTTTTTTGGACCGGTAAATTATCTTATTGTATTGGCCTTGTTTTACTCTAAGACTATTTGGCTTACTCCTAGAATTTGTCAAATGCACAAGTATTTACCCTTATTTAGAACGCACCAATTTATTGAACCTGCAGTGTTTTAAGTTGGGCCTAAATTTAGAACTTTAAAAATATAAAACAATTGATTGTGTCCAGGAGTGTGAGTTATTGAGGCGGGAAAATCTTAAGCTGAAAACGAAGATGGAGAGTTTAAAAAAGAAGACCGAGGACAAGGAAAATCTCAGTATAATACAAAGAGACGACAAGCAGAAGTTGAGCAAGCCGGGATCGACAAAAAAGAAGCCAATGTCACCAAGTGTGTTGAAGCCTTCAAACTACTAAACCTGCCTCTAGGTAAGGGATAGTACTAAAATAGCTATTTAGCCTACATTACAAGTGTAGTAAGATCGTGTTTACATCACGCAGGTGAATGTTGTGCATAATTCTCCTGAGTGATGTAAACAAGCTCTTGCGTAACATGTATCGTACAAGATTTTACCTGACCCGACAATATACAGGAGGTTACGAACAATATTTTTCATTATCCATTTCACTCATCTTCTAACAGTAACGTTAATTTACAAACAAAAGCTTACCTTACCTCCTTGGCCACTCAAACCTAAGAAGGTTTTTGGCCTCTCCAACAAGTTGCCTCCACTGCTGCCGGTCTGTCGCCATGTCAAGAGATGCCCCCACACTGTGTAGGTCTTTTTGGACTTGGTCTCTCCATCTCAACTGCGGTCTTCTTAGCGGGCGAGTGCCTCGTGGTTGTCCATTGGCGATCTTCTTAAGCATACTTTCTTCTTCCTTTCTTTCTACATGGCCTGCCCATCTCAGTCGTCTACTCTTCACTATTGCTACAATGTCCGGTTCTTTGTACAGTTCTCGGAGCTCTCGGTTTTTTTCTTATTCGCCACATACCTTCTTCATTTATAGGTCCGAAAATCTTCCTCAAAATTTTGTTCTCAAAAATGACAAGTTTGTTTTCATGATTTTTAGTTAATGTCCAGGTTTCCGAACCATATAAAAGGACTGGTTGAATTAAAGTTTTATAGATTCTTAATTTTGTGTTTTGGGATAGTATTTTTGAACTAAGTATTTTTGATACATCCCAGAAACATTTGGTTGCTGCAATCAGTCTCTTTTCTATTTCTGTTCCTCTTTCGTTATTCCAGTTAACTGAGACTCCGAAGTATTTAAATTCGTTTACTCTTTCAAAATTATGGTTATTGACCCTAAAAGGTTCAGCTCCTTCAATTTGGGTTCTTCCGACTTTCAGATATTTTGACTTCTCTTCACTTATTTAAGTCCAAACTTATTTGCTTCCCTTATAATAATCTCAGTAAGCTTACCTAGGTCCTCTTTTGATTCTGCAACTAATGTAACATCATCTGCAAAAGCAAGTGTGTTTACTATAGATCCGAGGTTTATTCCAGCTTCGATATGTTTGGTGCTTTTTAAGGTTTCTTCTATTGCAATATTGAAAAGAATTGGTGAAAGTCCATCCCCTTGTCTAACCCCTGAATGGGTTTGGAAGGTTTCCGAGTATTCATTTTCTATCTTAACTTTACTTTTGGAACCTTTAACACACATCTTTGTCAAATTTACAGGGTTGTCAGAGGCCGGAATTCCGGGAAAATCGGGAATTATGCGTGAATTTTAACAGCTGTGAAAAAACCGGGAAATATGCGTGAAAATCGTATTATTCCATGAATTTAATTGATATCGTTATTACAGTTTTTTTAAAGTAATTTTAATAGTTATAAACCGTTTTGCAATACTTTCTTGATTGATTTTATAGTAAACCAAAATTTACGGTTTACTGGCGAGTGGTGATGGTTCGGAAGAAGCAGAAGGTAAGTTGGATGTACACTACCTACCACCATGAATAGGCCTACGCGGGAAGCCGACGCCGCCGGTCGCCGGAAGCAGACTACATTGTGCTGAACTGCAACTGACTTCCATCCAACTTAGTGTTAAGATTTATTTGATTCTGATATTGTCTGGTGATACAGTACCTATTTTCAGCGATTATAGCCAAAAAGCCTTTAAAATAAATGTGTAGTAGTAGGCCTACAAGTTATTTTTCCAACCCATTCCAAAAACTACAAATCTTCCTAACATTGCATTCTTTGCAACATCGCAAAATGTTCGGCATTTGTTTACTTCTTGTCAATTGACCTTGACATCGGCACAAACCTCAGCAACTTCTTTTCATAATCCATCATTGATTGGCACGCGTTTCGATCGATGTGCAACTTGTTTCGAATTGAATACTCTGTAATACAACTTTATAGTAACCTTTTATAAGCATTATTAAACAATTATTACACACAAGTAAGAAGAGTGGCATTTATTTGAGTTTGAAACTGATCAAATGACTACTGTCGGGGAAATAAATATGTGCACTCGAGTTTGAGCCTAAATATCTCTGAGATTAATTATCCGATTTTGTTGAGAATCAAAAATTAAGTACCGGTTTTTAAGAATCTCTGCACTAACACTGAAGTTTAAAATTTTATTGTAAACAAACCACTGAGCCAATCTTTCTGAAACTTTTATGGCTTATTGGTAGGTTTATTTTTTAACATTTCCATGCATTTTAAAATTTTTACTCACAATAGTTTTTATGCTGCTATTAATTTTTAAAACGTATGCTAACATCGTTATAAGACGCTAACAATTTCGTTCAAAATACCATCGTGTTTGTCGTGACACAAGAAATAACACCAATATGACAGATTTATAATGCGAACAAAGGTGTTTTTTAAACAGATTTATAGTTTTTGTAAACAAAAATTTCTCCCGTGACTGGCGAATGTCAGTGTGGTAGCCAGGTTCACATCGGCAACGTCGCAGATTCGCACGCGCTCCCGCCCGGCTGGGAAACATCGTAGGCCTACAACACCAGGCGGCCCGCTGCCAGTTTAAATTAAATTTTAAACTTCAGTGTTAGTGCAGAGATTCTTAAAAACCGGTACTTTTTACAATCTTTCAACTATATAAATTTTTCTGGTAAACGGAATTTTTTTTAATTGTTACCACGTAAAGTGTATTTTAACCAGCTTATATTTAATTTTTGATTCAACAAAATCTGATAATTAATCTCAGAGAGATTTAGGCTCAATCTCGAGTGCACATATTTATTTCCCCGACAGTTCTACTGTACTAGCTTGACCAATTAATGTTTAAGGTAGGGATGGTCAAGTCTTGAAATTTCGGGAAATTTTAAATCTCGTTACATGAGACGAGATTTCTTTTTGACCGAGATTTTTATCAAGACGAGAATAAAAAAAAAAAAAAAAAAAAATTAAAAACGCCTGCAGAAAGTCAATGCAATACCCGCAATACAGGAGCGTGTTGTAGTTTTGTTTCCTTTGCGAAGGCGTTCTTATTTAACTAATTCTTTAAAATATGTAAATATTACTTTTATTATTTTAATAATACAGTATTACTTTAATAACATTTGAGAAGTTTTGTTAAGTGTAAGCAGTGTGAGGAATGTTTTATTACTATAAAAAGTCAAAACAAGTAACTATTTTATAAAAATTAATATTGCTTTTATTTTATGATTTATTTTATTTTAGGATAAGTTGAATTCTATCCTAACTGATATCACTATGTTTCCTAATCGTAGGCATTTTTAATAAGTTAGGCGTGATTAATAAAAAAATGTTATGCTGATGTTTTTTTAATAAAAGATTGTAAATATTCATGCCTATTATCATTATTCTTGTATTTAAACAGTCATCTAACAATGTTACAAAATCAGGTAAAAATGTTGAACGTGCAAATCCCGTCTCGATCTCGTCTCGAAATTTTATGAGAAATAAAAAATCTCTTCTCGTCTCGTCTCGAACTAAAAGTCCAATCTCGTCCATCCCTAGTTTAAGGTAATCGAGTTTATAACCTCTGATAATTCTGAACAAATTATTAGCCAAATATAGTATTATGAGTGGATGTTATCAAGATGGCACCCATAATGACCCACCGCGCTACCCCTTACCCGCCCGACCATCAGTGCGTCACTAATTAATTATGTGTCACGAAGTGTTCACCGTTTCATCGGTCGGGGCTTACTTAGTCCCTTGGGCAATTTGGCTTGCTTTTTTTAATTTACTGATAAGTGTAACTTGTGTTGTGCCGTTCTTATAAGTATAATAGACGCCGGGAATTCTGTACTTTTTAGCTGGGAAAACCGGGAAAAATGCGTGAATTTCATTTATAGATCCTGCTGACAACCCTGATTTATCAGTTTGTCGGGAATTCCAATTTTCTGCATTGTTTCCCAGAGTTTGGGTCTTTTTATGGTATCATAAGCTTTTACAAAGTCAATGAACAGGATATAACACTCTTTATTATATTCCCAATACTTTGATATTATCTCTCTAATCCCAAAAATTTGATCCATTGTTGAGCGTCCGTTGATGAAACCAGCTTGATGGTCTGAAATCTTCAAAAGAATTGGTCAAAGTCAAAGAATTCTTCTGCATAAGGTTTTATTCTGTTTTATAAAATCTTAGACAATATTTTGTAAGTTGAGTTAAGTAGGAATATTCCTCTAAAATTGGTACAAGTTTCATTGTCTCCTTTTTTGTGGATCGGGATTATTACAGATTCACTCCATTCTATGGGCATTTCTTCTTCGATCCATATTCGCTGAATCAGTTTATGAATTTCTCTAGTAGCTGGTAAGAATCACATTGTTTCATAACCTCTATTGCTATATCGTCTTCACAAACAAAAGCTAGGTTAGGAAAATTCTTCAAAGCATAACAATAAAATTCAAGCGCACTGCTGATTTCTAGCGTTGAACGTCGTTGGCTCCATAGAGGTATATTTTTTAAGTTAAGCACTCAATGTCATTTAAATCAAATCAAATCAAATCAAATCAATTTATTGTTGTAGACATTTCACAATGTTTTAACAATCGTCATAAAATACATAAATTAATACAGCAAATCGAATACTTAGATGTAATAAATCAATATAATAAGTTCTAGTATTAAAAAATATATAAATATATAAATACAGGCACAATTAAATAGAAATATTTTGACATGTAAAAAAATCCTCCACTGTATATGGGCATTTTTGTATTAAATATGTTTTCAATTTTGATTTGAAAGTGTTCAAGGACAACTCCCGAGACTCCACTGATAAATTATTAAACAATTTAGCTGCCATGTATTGAATGTTTGTTTGACTCTTTGAGTATTTACAGAGCACTGTTTGCAAGTTGTGTTTTGTCAATGGGTTTCATTACCTCACCGAGTTAGTTTTTTCAACTTTACATCACTCGAGAAGTAAAGAAGTTGTATACATCACACTTGGAAAGTTTAACCCTTTTACTG